GGGGGGGGGGGGGGGGGGGGGGGGGGGGGGGGGGGGGGGACGCCTCAGGCCCCTCGTGGTAAAGCGATGCATGCGGCAGAGGAGGATTTTGGTGTGGGATCGGCGCGCCAAAGGCTGGAGGAGGAGAAAGGAGTGGGGATGTGCGTCCTGCTGGGAACTTCTGCCACTGGCTCCAGGCCGGGGACCACCGTGGGATGAGCTCTGCATCGCTCACCCACCCGCCCGGGATCGTGACCCCCCACCGTCCCCTTTCAGAGCCCCTGAACCCGAAGCGATGAGCTTTGAGGGCGCAGCAGCGGGGTCGGTGTGGGGCTGTGAGCGGTGCCTTTGCCGGGCATGGAGGAGGAATCGATGCAGGAGGAGCCGCTTCCAGGGGGGATGGGCGGCGGGGGGGGGGGGGGGGGGGAGGCTCTGCGGGGACTTGGACACAACCCCTGGTGCTGGGATCCCACCGGCACAGTGGAGCGTCGCCCCCACGGCCGCCCCCCCGGCCCCGCAGCTCTGTGTCCGCAGCGCCGCTCTGTGTGTGTGGAAGAGGGGGGGCAGATGGCCGCGTTCGGCCGCGCAGGCTGAAACCAATCGGGCGCACAGCTGACCCCGGGTCGCAGCACCAGGGCTGCGGGATCCGCGCTGTGCCGAGTGCGGGGCTCTGCCTGTCCAGGGCTGGGGGTGGCCTTGGGCGGGGGGGTGGGGGGGAGGGGTCCCAGCCTCTGCAATGGGGCGGGGGGGGGGCCCCAAACGACAACATGCGGCGGGGTCCCCGGCTCTGAGCCCCACCTCGTTCCTTCACCCCGCGGCAGTTTGGGGTGGGTGGCACAGCATCACCCCTTCAGCGCACACACTCGTGGATGTGCACGAGCACTCGTGCAAACGCAGACACGTGCGGGTGTTTGCACGCCAACCGCCCGCCCGGCGGGCCCCCCCCCAAAAAAAAAGTCCCCCGGCACACACGTGCACACGCACCACACACACACACGGCCGAGGGTGGGCTCACACACGCAGGCAGCAGCGCACGCAGGGTCCCTCCCCCGGACCCCCCACGCCGGGCGCTGTGATGGATTGTGCCACACACAGCTCCGCCGGGATGGGAGCGCTGCGCTAATCCAGCCCTGACATCGCATTCCTCCGCCGTGGGGCTCCGGGGTTGTTAACCCTGCCAGGGCTGCGCCAGGGCTGGGGGTGCTGGGGATGCTGCCGAGCCCCCTCCCCAAATCGTCCCTCCTGCAGGTTCGGCTGCGGTGGGTGCAGCTCTGCCCTTCTCCTACGGGCCTCTGCGCCCGTTCCTCTGCCTCCCATCCCTTTCCCATCCCTCAGCGCTGTGGGCCGCAGTGCCCCTTTGCCCCCTTTTTCTCTCCCCCCCCGTTTCTCCTGTCCTCCACAAACTGGAGCCAGATGACGGCGATCAGAGGCGTTTGCGGGAAAAAAAAAAGGGGAAAAACCCAAGGGGGGAGGGGGGGGGGGGGGGGACACCGGTCCCAATCCCCTTCTGCGCGGCGCTGCTGCGCCCGGAGCCAGCCCTGCTCCGGCTGCTGGCTGCGATCCGTGTTTTCTTGGCAGAGAGGAGGAGGAATGTGTTTCAGTTTGAGTTTCTTGGCAAGAGGCGGCCGGGGAAGATTCCCTCCATCCCGCCTGCGCCCTGCTCTCAGATTTATGCCCATGGGCTGCGACTTGGGTGGGCCGCGGCGGCGGCGGCGGCGGCGGCGCTGGGGAGGGGAGCGCGATGGTGGGGGGGGGGGAGGGAGGGAATGACGGCATGGATCCCATCGGCTCCCTGCGCCCCCCGGCCCCGCTCCGGATTCCTCAGTCTGGAGGCTGCTGGGGTGCGGGACGCCCCCCCAAACCCCACGGGGAGCATCGTGCAGCCGGGGCCCCCATCGCCCCCCGTTGGTTGGTGCTCCAAAGCCTTCATCGCCGGCGGCGTTCTGTGATCCCCTGCTGTACCCATGGGGTGGGGGGAGCAGTGGGGACCCACTGCGCTGCTCCGGCCCTCCATGCAGCGCGTGGCAGACGATGCTGGCGCTTATGGGGCAGCACTTATGGGGCGGCAGGGATGTGATTTGTCACGCGCCCCCCGTGTGCCCTTGTGCTCATGCAAAGCGTGCGCACGCGTGCGGATCCCATGTGCTGTGTGCTGTTGCACGCGTGCTCTGCAGGTCAGGGGGTGCTGGGGGCCGCGCACGTGTCGCACATGATGTGACACGCACACACGTGTCACACTCGGTGTGAACACCACGTCCCCCCGGTTCCCCTTGGGGGGTGGCCTGAGGGGGTCTCATGAGCCCCCCTGAGCTGCAGCAGGGGAAGCAAAGCACGCCGGGCGCCTCACCCTGTGTCCCCCCCACCCCAGGTGCACGGATCCAGCGCCGCTGCACCCTGACGAGACCTGAGTGCTCTGCATGCAGACAGAAGCCCAGCAACCACGGTGACACACGTGTGAACATGTATGTTTGTGTGCCAATGTGTTTGCGCTCACATGTGAGCATGCTGGCGTGCACGCAGAGATCTGTGCACCCATGTGAGCACGCAGTTTGTGTCTGCACACAGGTGTGCACATGCTCACGCGTGCAGGCGACTACACGTATGTGTGTGTATGTGCAAGCATGTTCGTGCCCCTGCACATGTCTGCACAGCCGTGTACTGCAGGAAGCTGTGCCTGACTCCACAGAACGACGTTTTTTTGAGGAACTCCCACCCTCTCTTTGCCAGATGCTGCACCTGGGGTAGGGGCAACATGAGGGGCGTCCCTTGGAGCTGCTCCCCCCATCCGTGCTGCACGGCGCGGGCGCAGCACACAGGTAAGAGCCCCCCGTCCTCCCCTCCATCTCCTCCATTTCCTCCTCCCGTCTTTCCCTTTGCTGCCCCCAGCCCCACCACCGTGCTGCCCTGCAGGCCCCCCCTCCATTCTTCCTGCCTGACACTCTCACAAAGCCCCTAGACAAGCTTTCAAAGGGGCAACTCATGCGGAAGAATCGCTGCCCCCCTCACCCCTGTGCTCCCAACTCAACCCAGCTCTTTCCCAGCAGGGTGAGGGGCTCCCGCTCCCCCAGCCCCCTTCTTTGGGGCAATTCCTCCATGGGGGAGGCGGAGGGGGCCTTGGAAGCAGTGCCACCCACGTGCGCCCGTTCCCCCGCTCCTTGGTTCTCTCGCAAACCCATGGGGGTCCTGGGGCAGAATGGTGGGGGCAGAGCCGTGGGCTGGTGGGTGGAAACGGGGCCCGGGCTCCAGGCAGGGCTGAGCCCCGTGGGCTGCGTAGGTGGGACGGGGCAGGGTTTGGCCTGCAGGCAGGGCGGGGAGCCGTGGGCAGGGCAGGGCTGGGAGTGATCTGCAACTGTGATGCCAGCCTGGGTCCAAGAGCGGCTCCATCCATCTGTGCCTTCCATTCTTGTTGCGGCCGTCAGGGCTTGCAATTTTTACAGGCTGGAAACTGGATCGTTTTTAAGGCCATTTTTCATCTAAATCTGTACCAGAAACAGAGGGATGCGGGCTCTGCGTGCTGCCCTCCCCTGGCAGCAGCCCCTGCTCCCCTCCAGGCGCACACCATGAGCCCCAGCCGTGCTTCACATCTGTGCCCCGTGCAGAAAGCTGCCCTGGTCCTGGGGAGGAGGAGAGTCCTTAGGGTGAGGGGCTCACAGAACCAAAGCACCGTTGGGTTGGAAGGGAGCTCCAGGATCACGGAGCTCCAACCCCCCTGTGCCATGCAGGGCCACCAACCTCCACGTTTCACAGCAGCCCAGGCTGCCCAGGGCCCCATCCAGCCTGGCCTCCAACACCTCCAGGTTTGGATGGGGCATCGCAGCCTCTCTGGCAGCTGTTCAGCCCCTCACTGCTCTCGTAGTGCAGAACTGATGTCTGCTCACAGATGGGCAGCAGCAGGATGCCCTATGAGGGGCAGGTGGGCGGGCAGACAGGAGTCCCACGTCTGATGGGTCTGTGGCGAGGTTCCATTGAGTGCACTTTTCTGCCCGGGATCCCGTGTGCGCCAAGCTGTGGGATGCAGGGTTAGGGTTAGGTTGGCTGCTCCCCAACCCCGGGGCTGCTCCCCCAAGCTCCGGGCCTTTTGGCCGGGCACACAGGGCTGTGTGTGGGCAGAGTGGGAAGGCCTCGGCCTGCGGGGCGCTGCGGCCTGCTCGGGATGCGGCCCGTGAGGCCCCGAGGCCCGGGCGCTGCCTGCGCGGCGCCGCGGCGCCCCCTGCGGGCACCGAGCAACGCGAGGCCGGGGCTTTGCTCTCCGCAGGCCTCGACCGGCGCCGGCCCCTCGGCGAGGAGCAGACGCGGCCCTGAAGGCCGGGCAGGCCCCGCTGTGCCATGTTCAACCCCGTCACGCCTCAGGGCCCCGGCTACGCTGAGCACTGCTGCCCGCGGCCGCTGCACGGAGCCTCTGCGGGCACAGCGGCGCTGCAAGGTCGGTCACAGCTCCCCCAGCACGCGCGGTGCCGGGGATGGACGCGTGCCTTCAGCGGGAGGCTCGGCGTCTCCCTCTCACACCCTTCACCCTTCCTTTCCCTCCCTGCCCCCCAGGACTCGATTTCTCGGTGTGCCATCCGCCCAGCCTCGCCAGCAGTCACCATGGCTATGGGCTGGTGCCCGGCACTGAGCATCCGGGTGGTGCTGATGGTGAGTCCGTGCTCCAAGTGAGGGGTTGATGAGGGGTTTGGGCGCCTCCGGCAGTGCTGAGATGGCTGAAGCTGCTGGGGCTTCAGGGATCCCTCCTGCGACAGAGTTGTTGCTGTGGAAATCTGTGTCGGCTCACGCAGGGGCTGCTGTTGGCCAGAAGGACTGGGCACTTATTTTGGGCTGGTCTAGGTTGTAGAAAGGAGTCGGTGCGTGTCAAGGGCTTCAGATCTTCAGATACCTCTTAGGGTTTGTGACTGGGAGGAGGGATGCTTCTGAGCTTTGCCACAATCTGGACCCAGCACCCAGCAAGCTCCAGGTGCTCCTGCAGGCTCCAAAGCACCGGGCTTGTGTCCTTGGGGGTCGCTTCAGTTGCTTCAGCCTTCCAGGACCAATCCTAAGAGCGGTGCCCTCCACTCTCTGCCACTGTCCCAGGCTCGCGGTTCTCAACGCCCCGTGGTGCCGGCAAGCTGGGCAAGAAGCGGGCACTGTCCATCTCACCCCTGTCAGACTCCAGCGTTGACCTGCAGACGGTGATCCGCACCTCGCCCAACTCCCTCGTTGCCTTCATCAACTCCCGTTGTGCCTCCGCCAGTGGCTCCTATGGTCACCTCTCCATCAGCAGCATCAGGTGGGCGCCAGACTTCGACTCACGGGCATGCAGACAGCCTCTGAGTGCAGGAACCTGAGTGCTGTTGCCCAGCTTGGGGAATGCCAGGGGCCAAACTGGGAGCAGTTATCCCAGAGCGGGAGGGCAATGAGGCTGGTGTGCTAGGGCAGGAGCTGCTGGGAGCTCAGATCCCTGCCCAAACTCCTGTCCTGTGCTGGTGTCGCTTGCATATCCCTTTTGCTCTTTGCAGTCCATCGTTGGGGTACCAGAACCCTCCGGGGCAGCAGAAGGGCCAAGGGCAACTGTTCAGCCACACTCCACCCCTGCCACCGTGCAGCTCCCACGAAACCCTGTCGTCCCGCCCGGGGCTCCTCCATCACACCCCGGCTCATGGGCCCCTCAAACACTGCCAGGTATGGGGCCGCAGGGATGCTGTGCATCCCACGTAACGGTTGGGCGTCCTGCTGCTGACTGCTTTGCAATTTCCCCCTGCCACTGCAGCAGCTGAAGTTGGAGAGGAGCCTGAGTAGCCCTCTGACAGCCAAATACGCAGAGGAGAAATCTGAGGGTGACATCTCCAGTCCAGCCTCCGCAGGCACACAGGTACTCCCCAGGCCTTTGGACTGCCCTGCTCCCAACAGCTCCACGCTCTCCCCTGTGCCGCTCCCAGGAGCAGGGAGGACACAGAATCCCACCTTGGAGTTCTCACCTGGCCGTGCTCCTCCAGGACCCCTTGTTGGGGATGCTCAGCGTTCGGGAAGATCTGGAGAAGGAGGATGGGAAACCCGAATTTGAGACCATCTATGAAACAAACTGCTACTGGGATGGCTGTGCCAAGGAGTTTGACACGCAGGAGCAGCTGGTGCATGTGAGTTAGATCCTACCTGGGCACCCCACGTCCCCGACCCTGTGCTCGGGCCACTGGCTGACGTGCCGCTGTGTCAACCCCTCGCTCCTGCTCAGACTGCCCTGTCTTGGGCTGAACCTGCGGCTCTCCCCACCACTTCTAGAACTCACCACACGGGTGAGCGGTGTTGGAAGGGAGGGAGATGCATCCTCCTCTTCACCTGGGCAAGTTCTTTGTGATCTTCCCATACCGTGTGCCAAGGGACGCCACTCAGCCTGCCCTTCCTCACCCCCGAGCCAGCTCTCCCGAAGCTCTGGTGCATCCAAACTCCCTGCTTTCTTCTCCGTGCCTCCCTTCAGACGCTCCATGACCCCCATATCTTCTCTTGGCCACCCCCAGTTAGCCCCCAGCCACTTCCAGTGCCCCCCGCTTCCTCCACACGCCATCTGACCTCTCTTTATTCCCCCAGCGTCTCCCCCACCCGTCCCTCTCCCTCCATATCCGCGTTTTCCCACGTCTCGTCTTAATTTGCCCCTGACACTGGGTGCCCTCCCCCGTGCCCCTCGTGATTCCCTCTTCTCCCCAGCACATCAACAACGAGCACATCCACGGGGAGAAGAAAGAGTTCGTGTGCCACTGGGCAGCGTGCTCGCGGGAGCAGCGGCCCTTCAAGGCGCAGTACATGCTGGTGGTGCACATGAGGCGTCACACGGGCGAGAAGCCTCACAAGTGCACGGTGAGATGGGACGGGGTTTTTCGCAGAGCTGAGGGCGGCGTGTGGCACTGCGGGGGACTCGGGGCTGGAGAATGAGGCGGGTTGGTTGGCAGCCTGGTGGCACGCGGAGCAATTTGGTCCGAAGCCCAGAGCCCTGTGCTCAGTGGTGGCACAGCTGCGCCTGGAGCCAAGGCGTGCATGGCGGGTGGGGGTGCAGCGTGGCACGGGTCAGGAGGGCGAAGGGGCTGCAGGCAGTGCGCTGTGGTCATGCAGGGTCTGTTTAAGGTTGAGCCGTGTTTTGCTCCGCTCTCCCCTGCAGTTTGAGGGCTGTAACAAAGCGTACTCCCGTCTGGAGAACCTCAAGACACATCTGCGCTCCCACACGGGTGAGAAACCCTACGTGTGCGAACACGAGGGTTGTAACAAAGCCTTCTCCAACGCTTCCGACCGGGCCAAGCACCAAAACCGCACCCACTCCAATGAGGTACATCTGGGGCTGCCGCCCTCTGGGTTCCCCTTGGGCTGCTGTTGGTCCCTGGGACTTTTTCTCATGAGATGTGGAGGTTGGTGGCCCTGCATGTGGCAGGGGATTGGAGCTTGATCATCCTTGGGGTCTCTTGAAACCCAAGACATTCTATGATTCTTTGATTCCCTTCTTGCCCACTGTAATAGATCCCCAGGTTCCTTTCTTCCGAGGTTACCCACCAGGATCCCTTTATCCCCGCGCCATGCAGGGACACTGTCCTTATATTCTTCCTCTTTATGACCTCTAACACCCCACAAAGGGATCCAGTCTCTGTCCATCCCACCCTCTGTTTCCTCAGCTCCCAGATCTACTGGAGAGGATGAGGAGGGGATTCTGGTCCTTCGTTGGAAGGAGTTTGGAATGGAATGAAACGCAGCGGTTCCACCGGAAGGGACCTTCAAGGATCACATCCAACCACTCCTAACCCCTCCTTGCACCTTTTTCCCCCCACAGAAGCCGTACATCTGCAAGATCCCGGGCTGCA